CTACTGCTACTGCTACTGCTAGTAGCAGTAGTAGTAGTAGTAGTAGTAGTAGCAGCAGCAGCAGCAGCAGAAGCAGGAGTAGTAGTAGTGGTAGTAGTAGTAGTAGTAGTAGTAGTAGTAGTAGTAGTAAAAAGAAGTAATCATAACACTAGTGATACTCATAACGTCTTTAATTGTATCAGTAAGTACAATTTCCAATAAAAAGACTCACAGAGTCGTAGGAATGAAATTACTAGTCAAAAGAAAAGAACCCTAGTAAACCCTAAACCCCTAACCCCGAAACCCTAAGCCCCATGCCGGGCCCCCGACTTCGAGCTGCCCTGGCAAGGTGTGCGCCGAGTTTCGGCTGGGAGCGTTCCCCGACGAGGCCCAGAGCTGTTTGAAACTGGGGGCCTTGGGCTTAGGGTTTAGTAGGGTTTAGGGGGTTTAGTGGCTCAGGGTTTAGGGGCGTGGGGCTAAGGAGCTTAGGGTTTAGGGGATTTAGGAGCTTAGGGTTTAGGGCCTTAGGAACTGGAACCTGGTTCGCTAGACTTCTGAAAGGGGCCCTGTCAAGGCAAAGAAGCCATCACAAATCTACAATGTGTCGGACATTTAAGATTACACCACCGGCAGGGTACCGACAATGGGCCGTGGGCAAGAAAGAACGTGTTTCCAAAGTGCGCCTTGACGCACTACAGCCCGAAGGCGCGGAACAAGATGTTGCAGGAAGGCTGCCGGGGCGTCCACTAGATGTTGGAAGTGTGCACTGATTTGTCACCCATATCATCATTCATCATCCAGTTGTTGTCCGGAAGACCCTAAACTTCAATGCGAAGTCCTGTGCCCGGACCTGGCTTCCCGCCTTCAGGCCATGTTTCCGCGGTGCATTCCGGTCCCCCTCGAGGATCACGAGGATGGGGTCGCGGTAGGAGGAAGGCCTTAGCCCCCCGCAATAAAACTCAAAGTGCCAATGTCCAGCGTGATACCGTCATAAGGGTAGCATTGGAAGGCTGTGATACGGATGGCGGCAGCACGAACTGGTGCGACAGTGACGAATTTAAATCACAGCATTTACTCGTAGAATTCCGGACCGTATTACTCGTAGAGCTCCTGTTGTGGTTATTGCAATATAGTTGCTCCGAGTGCTCGTCTTCTTCGTGCAATCAACTTCCGTCTCCTCACGTCCCGAAGTCGACAAAGTCGAAACCCAGGATTGGGGATCATCCACTGGCAACGTAATGTGGGGCTCCCTGTAAAGGCCCCCAAAGTTTCAAACCTTACACTACTAACCCGTATGAAAACCTTGTAGTAATCCTGATGCCCTTGGAAAGCCCAAGGGGACATCCACTCTGCGTTCCCTCCGAAGTGTCTCGGCCCGTGAACAGCGATAAGGCGAAGCATCCGGCTGGAGCATGAAAAGCGAAGCTCTCGGTTGCCCACACCAGCTCTGAAAAGAGAGCAATCTTCATGAGGGCCATCAGGGGCACGCTAAGCCTCGAGAATGGCAGGGGGCACCCCTTCATCGTCCATGACTACTTAAAGGATCATGGGACCTAGTAAGTAGGGTCACAATCAGGGTAACCATACTTATAACCCCAGTTAAGGGACTTACAACCTTCTTACTAAGTCCCATGATCCTCCAAGTACCAGGAGCACTACCTGCATACCGCACTATTCCGCTCTGAAGCTGGACCAGTCAGCTGAAGCGAACATCACTAAAAACCGGGCCAGAAAGCCGACCCTCCTGCTCATCCTGTGAGCTTACGGTGGAAGTGCCGCGCTAGATCAGATAGGTATGGCCACTAGATTGCAAGATGCTGCTGCCAATGCTGTCCTGTTCCGAGACTGTGTAATGGTTGATGGTCCATAGGAAGCATCAAGGATGATGATGAGACTGTGTTGCAGATGGCTTTGTCGTGCTCGCTGCTTCCGCCGCCGCCGCCGCCGCCGCCGCTGCTGCTGCTGCTGCTGTTGCCGTTGGTGGTGAAGTCGTCGTCATCGTCGTCGTGGCTAGTTGCCGTTTTTGTGACCATTGCGAAGATGATGATGGTGATGACGACGACGATGACGATGACGATGTTGACGCTGCTGGTGCTGTTTCTGGTGCTGGTGCTGGTGCTGGTGCTGGTGGCGGTGCTGGTGGCGGTGCTGGTGCTGGTGCTGGTGCTGGCGCTGGCGCTGGCGCTGGCGCTGGTGCTGGTGCTGGTGCTGGTGCTGGTGGTGCTGCTGCTGCTGGTATGTTGCTGTTGTCGCTGCTGCTGTGTTTCTTTGTGTCCAGCATCTTGATCGGGAATTGTCTAAAGCTGATGGATCTGAATTCGTAAGGTGCGCACAGCATGCCGGTCGGCCCCCACAAGTATCCGAAGACTCCCACTGACCTCAGCCAGCGTTCCTCTGAGTTGCTTTTCGGATCAGCACGTTCGTTTTGTTTCGAGAATGTGGTTTCGGAGTGATGCCCACGAAGATTCGTCAGTGCTCGTAGCAGCTGTAGCATTTTCGTAAGAAGAGCCCGATAGCAGCAGGTTTACACTGCGACGAGTCACGACCTAACTACACAGGTAATTGTTTCGGCAGTAACGTCATGCTGCAGACGTGTAGCAGGTAGTCGGGGCAAACACACTGCAGTTGCGGTTCGAATCCGTGGGATTGCTAGTCCAGCTTGTGCTACTTCGGCAGGAGGAATGGTGACGATGAGGACGGTGATGGTGGTGATGGTGGTGATGGTGGTGGTGACGATGATGATCATGGTCATGGTGATGAAGATGAAAGATGGTCATGTTCATCACGAAGACGAAAGTGATGCTTCTGATAAGGATTATAGCAACGGTGGTGAAGGTGGTGACTGTGATCACGGAGAACCTAGGAGGGACTCTAGGATGTGCTTGTTGTGGTGAGGTTTGCCCTTGAGCCCCTCAAGCAAGGCCAAAGGTAGCAAGAGCTTCACGTCATCTCGGGCATTGCTCCGTCTCTCCCTGATCTTTCTTTCGCCAGCGCTGGGTGGGAGGGGATCGCTCTCTCTCTCTCTCTCCCTCTCTCCCTGGGGCTTTCCGGTTGGAGGCCGAGGAAAATTTTGAAGAAGTGCTCCTCGGCCCTGAGAGCAACGCAGGAGGATCATGACCGGATGCATGCGGAGCTTCTTGTCACTCTCAATAAGCTTCACCTGCAACACCAGATCTCCGAGTACTCAGTACAAGTTATTCTACTAATCACCATGCGCTGCACAACTTCGGGCGACAGATCGTGCGGCATCTGTGTTGCCTCACCGGCAAGTGTTTGCTCGACCTCTGCTCATGTTCCTAGCAACAGTCGCCCACAACCATGGGCCCTAAAACCCCCAAGCCCCCCCAAGCCGTCTTTTCGCTGCTGGACCCGAGGTGTGCCTCAATGATGTTGCTGAAAGCAAACTTCAGGGCAAGCTGGCCGAGAATCGCGACGAAAAGCACCTGCAAACGACAAGGGCGTTACTCTAATCATTGCTAGTACTGTTACAGCTTCGAGTCAAGGGCTTCAGGGTGTCTTTACTAGTGCGGATACCTGTTCCTCGTCGTAGGCGAGCTATTGCTGCGACTGTGGTCACTGCTTCAGCTTCTGACTGGCTTGCGCTTGGTAGCAGCCACGATAATCAGCCCGAACCAAAAACGTAACAAGAAACCAGCGAGCCCTTAAGGTTCAGAGTTGCTTTTGTTGTTGGCCGTTTTTCCAACTGCTATATTAGCTAGTAGATGGAAACTCCTCAGGGTTGTCTTGGGCAGGAAAAAAGCAGTGGTAGTTCGAAAAGGTCAAGAAGGGTGGCAAGCGGACTGGCTATGTACGTGGCAGTTTGAGGAAATGCGCGAACAAGATTAGACGACATTGAACGCATTAGGCGCTAAGTTGCATTGCCAAAAACCTCGATGAAGGCTACGTAAACAAGCCAGACCGCAAAGAACTGGCTTCCCGACCAGCATCGGCCGGTCGATGCGGCTGTCAAGGATAATGACAGGACATGGCAGTACCTCAGAAGGCCCAGAAACGGACGAAGCACCCTAAACCCAAAATCCTAAACCCTATGTAAGGCCAAAGAAATTCGCCTGGGCCCCAAGGTCGCCGCATCGCTTAAGCTGCAAGAAACCGTCGGCACTTCGAAGACTCGACCGTAGAGCTTGGGGTTTAGGGTGTAAGTGCAGCGCCAGCTGCAAAAGCGGGAAGCATGTCTCACCCCAAACCCTGAAAGTTGCAAGCTCCCTGCTTGCAGTCGTACTCTGCGCCTCAACCCTAAAACTCGACCCAACAAAAACATCGCTCGGAGTGAGGGTCGAAACGGCACACCCTGAAGCTCCACAGACCTGGTAAGCCAAGAACTCCCCTCAGGCATGAAAGTACCCCTATGTAATGATGAAGTGCTAAGATATATATATATATATACACACACACCATGCTGTGTAACCCTATGTAGTGATGAAGCTCTTGCATTTATATCCAACTCGAACCCGACCAAGGGCCGGGCCATGGCGATGAAAGGACCCACCTGAAAGCAAACGGAAACATCAACGGCAACAGCGAGTTTTCCACGGAAGTGTCGTTGTGTAGCTATAGTAGAGTCATACAGTATAGTAGTCAGTATAGTTACAGTATATTCACAAAGCGGTTATGACATGGTTATAGCTATAATTATTACAGATAGTTGGGGGTTTCCGAAACTAGGGGACCCTAATATAGTACCCTAAATAACAGGATCCTTAATATAAGGGACCCCAAAATACGGTACCCCTAGTTTTCGGAAACTCCCAGTTACAACAGAGCTATACTGTAGTAAGAGGTTGAAGCAGTGGACTCGCAGCAGGGGCTGCTCCGGGCCTCGGGTACGAAGTTGAGTGCGAAGGTCGTCAGCGCGAAGACCGACCTTTGCGCGAACAAGGCACCGGAGCTCCCTCAAACCACGGTTTAGGGTTTAGGGCTTTTAGGGTTTAGGGTTTATAGGTTTTTAGGGTTTAGGGCTTATGGCTTTTAGGGTTTAGGGCTTATGGCTTTTAGGGTTTAGGGTTTATGGCTTTTAGGGTTTAGGGTTTATGGCTTTTAGGGTTTAGGGTGTGACTTGGTGCCTTCTGTAGTGATACGGTAATTGATACAAGCAGCAGGACCTGTGAGGCACCATGGTACGAAGCGCCATCACACACTTGTTTCAAGTGGACAATGGATCTCCCATGCCTCAAGCATCTAATGTCTAACCTATATCCGATCACCCTATACACACCCCACAACCCCTAACCCTCCAGGTACCTACTATATAGGGCCTTTGAGGCTCTAGTACCCTATATAGTAGGTAACTGGGGGCTTAGGGAACCATAAGCCTAAACAGCCCGCCCCCCGGGGACTGAGCGCAAGATCCACGGAGAGGAAGTAGAGAAGAAGCCCGGCCGAGATGCCGTAGCCGAAACAGGCCAGGGTTTTGAACCTCAAGCGTCAAGCATTCAGGAAATCCATAGCAAGGCTGTCTCTCAGGCTTCCGAAGCATTGTGCTCCGATTCTCATCTTATCCAGCGATTCTAACTAGAGGTTGCAGCCCGCAATCCTCCCAGGGATTGAGTTTCGGTCGCATCTCGTTGCAGGCACTTCACGACACAGGTTCCTTGCGTCCACAGTTGGAGCCCGAGGGCCGCGGACTGTACTGTTACCTTCATGTGAAGCAAGTGAGCTTATGGACAGCATGCGAATCCAGGCACCTGGTCAGCGTTGAGAAGTTTGGTGTCTTGTGAAGGTTGGGGGGCTTGGGAGTTGATGACTTGGGCAAGCTCGGGAAGACAGAGGGGTTGGAGCTTTGGCTTTTGAGGGTGCTGGTGTCACAAGGGCCTGCACAACTTCCAGTCCAGGCCGTCTAGGCTTCCATCGGAGTCACAGAATCAAAGCCTTCGACGCGGAATGCGACTTCCGTGCGAGGTTTGGAGATTTCCCACGGCTGGGACTCGGCTCAGGGTCTGGCATGATGTACTTTCGGAACATGACATCCACGGAGGAATCCTTGGAGCCATGGTAGCCACGAGACCAAGAGAGAGAGAGAGGGGGGGAGAGATGTGCAGACAGCCAAGTACGCTGTATCCATACACCGGCAGATCGAAACAAAGAAAGAAATCGCGAAATAAAGAAAGACATACATAATGATAGATAGATAGATAGATAGATAGATAGATAGATAGATAGATGGATAGATAGATAGATAGATAGATAGATAGACAGATAGGTCGATAGATACATAGATAGATCGACAGATAGATAGATAGATACATAGATAGATCGACAGATAGATAGATAGATAGATAGATAGCTAGATAGATAGATAGATAGATGAATGGACAGATCGATCGATAGGTAGATAGATAGGTAGATAGGTACGTAGTTGCATAGATAAATACAGATGCGCGGATAGATGGATCGATGGATGTATGGGTGGAACAATCGAGAGATGGATTTGCTTGCCTATGTAAGCACAGAATACACGCTACGAGTACACCCAATCTGATAGCTCACGGCACCAGCCAGATCAGGATCGGTGAGCCTCCCCGTTCGACTCAGGCACCGTCCATGGGAACGGGGCTGCAAAGCCAAAACAAGGTGTAGAGCATGGTCAACAGCACCTAGGTTTAGGGCTTATAGGGTCTGGGGGTTCAGGGGTTTAGAGGTCCAAGGGCTAAGGGTAAAAAAAAACCTGGGGGCTGCGTCTGAGGTGGCGAGAAGGTCTGCACGTCCTATTTCCTGCCGTTTAAACTTGAACTGGACGGCTTCTAAAGGTTTACAGTTAAAGGGTCAAAGGGTTTTTGTGCAAACCAGGAACCCTATGATGCCCAAAGCTGGACGGCTGAGACTGGCACGCCCAAAATCAAAGAGCTGACGTTGTTCACAATGTTGCCTACCGGGCACGGAGCCGACAGGCGCCATGGCTCTTTTGATCGTGAAAGCACTGCTGGACTTGCCATGGGTTTAGGGTTTAGGGTGGCCGAGGAAGTTTAATCTCCTTGAGGTGCTCTTCAGTACTCTGCTTTAGTACTGACGCCACGGGTCATGCACCTCATTATTTCGAAGAACCCCCAAACCCGATAGAGACCCTCAAGACTTAGCAAGTATCGGAGCACAGATGCATGGCGCCTAGCAAAGAGTAAAAGAGGTCCTGAGCGGATTTCAATGTGTCCGCGCTCACCTCCTGTCCAGCGTAGTATGGAAAGTGCAGCGAAGACCGTCAGACGAAGCAAACAGTGACAGACAGACGGACTTCTTACATCAGTGGTCAGGGAGGAATAGCGCTCTCCTTCGATGCAATGGAACCCGAAATGATTGAAATGACCGGTGTGGAACAAATTCCTGTCTTCGTGTCCGAAACATGGCAGGTCCTGGTACTGCTTCTTGAAGCTCTCCGGGACTTTGCTGAAGAGCGAGAGAAGGTCCCGCGTCAGCTGATCCGCACCCTTGCGGTGCCGTTCAGGTTTTCAGCTTCAGAGCATCACTTCCTTTCGGTGAGCATGAGGTCTGTTCCCTCTCCACATACTCTCACACAGATAGATAGATAGATAGATAGATAGATAGATAGATAGATGGATCGATCTAGAAAGATAGCTACTAGGGTCTGGGTCGTGAGTTCAAATCAAGTCAGCCAGCCTGAGGCAGAGTTCCTGCAAGAAGCTCTGCGGCTTCGGCATGGAGCTTATGTCCGACTAGACCCTGCGGTTTTTGCATGCAGCCCGAGATCTGCAAACTCAGAGTCGCATGACCATACCTACTATACTTTTACGAGTATTACTTTTGACCTTGCTCTGCTAGGTTGATGGACCAATGACTGGTGAAGGTAATCATTGCTACAAGAACAACAGGCAATACCGGTGCCTTCTGGTACACGTCCCAGTGCTCTTGCATATGTCTGGCGGACTCCATGATAAGTAAGCCGAAGACAGAGAGCCTCACTTGCACGGAATACGCCCAGTGCAGGGGCGTTAATATAGTAGGGTTGGGGTATATAGTACTTTCTTATAAGGAACCCCAAAGTATTTAGGCCCCGAAACTAGTTGAGAGAGAGGCGAGCCCGGGTGAGCTAAGTAGCAACGGGTGTGTCCCAGAGTTCCAGCCCTAGACCGGGTTTCACAGTCACAGGGTCACTGGGAAGGCCATCTAAATGTAAAGGCGAGCAAACAGATAATTCTCTAAAATACATAAATAAACAACTCAATAAATGCAAACATGTATATATATATATATATACATATATATATATATATATATTCAAACAACCAAACAAACAAACGAACAAGCGAGCAAACAAACACAAGACAACACAAACAGCGAAACAAGCAAGCAAGCAAGCAAGCAAGAAAGCGAGCGAGCGAGCGAGCGAGCCGGCAAACACACACACACAAACAACTGGACACAAAAACAAACGAACAAGCAACCAAGCAAGCAAACACACAAGCAAGCAGGCAAACAAACAAACAAGCAAACTTAAACAGACAGACCTACTTACATGTAAATGTACATCTAAACACATACGGAGGTGATGGATGCTGCAGCTCTTGCTTCGATAGCTTCCAGGGTCTGCTCTGAGATTGGAGCACAACACAGTCTGCCAAAAGCCACGAGCCTAAACAGTCTTCTAGGAAATCCACCAAGGACTCAAGGCTTTAGGGTTTTGGGACGTTTTGGGCTTAGGGCCGTAGAGGGGCATCATGTGGTAGTGGACCCTACCGAATACCTTTCAACACCCTTATTACGCCTTGAGAAGACCCCATGTGAAACCCTTTTGGTACCCGTCGCCACAATTTGAGGACCGGGCAGTGCCAACATGCCCATGGATGCCATCCTCAGCTAGGACATACATCCCAACTCTTCAGAGGCCTGGATTTGCAGGTACTGTAGACATTGAGGGTCTTGATGTTCGGATTCCCACGATCATCCTTACAGTTTTTAAGGAAAAGGGGTTATGAATCCGCCGTCTACACTACAAGCATTTGCAGGTGCCATGCGCCCTCTTTTCGGCTCAGCACGCCCAGCTCGTGCTTGGATTCTCCGTGGGCGTGGAAGCAGACAAGGGACGACGCGCGATTGCCTGGACAGCGCTAGACTCCAAGAGAACGGTGGGCTCACAGATGGAATGTATGCACGTAAGTATGGATAGGCATATGCCTATATACATACATCACCGGCCGCTTAATTGTAGTGTTTGGTATCTTCATCCAGGTACAGGCCAGTGAGCGGCAGCTGCGCTGAAAACCAATATTCCAACAGTTGTCTTCCAAACATGTCAATGCAGCGCCATTCTTCTCTGCTCTCTCTTGCCTCCGGCAACCTGATTCCGACTGAACCAACACCCCTGCGCCATCAACGTGAAGTGCAAGGCCACGGTGCCACAAGGGGCAGGGCAGACCCGTTGCCGCTTCCATGTCTGCACCCAGCCGCCGCAGCAACTTAGTCATGCCAGTGCGCTTGGGGCACTTGGGGCTTCGGGCTCGTACCCGGCAATCCGCAACCAAACGAAAGAGCCAATATCCTTTGCAAACCCAGCTAGCATTCCTGATCAAGGAGTGCACAAGGGCTTCACAGAGGTCCCAAGCCTCAAAACATACTGACATTACCATATACTTACTATACGGGCCCACATACCAAGAGAAAGCAATAAGCACGTTCGACAACCACTGCCGAAACTATTGAAACTTTGGGCTGAAGCCACCCTGTGGCCCTCAAGGCCTCGCGCTGCGCGCAGATCTCGCCGGCGCCGCTGGCAGCCACGCCGTCTGCTCCGAAGACCAGCAGCCTCGGGCCTGACATTGACCGGGATGATTGTGAAGAAGGGGCCTCAATAGTGTATAGTAATTATAGTTATAGTGAAGAACCCTAACGAATAAATACGAATCATAGTACCAGTAATTCAGGTTGCTGCTACGTCACACGAAATGACTTTGCATTGGCAGACATGCGTTATGCACCAAACTGCAATTTTGAATGCTGATCTCCCCTCGCAGATGATAAAGCTTCCAGGACCCTTATAGAAACCCGCTCCGAAAGAAAGCCTCCTAGAATCCCACCCATCCCAGTCCCAGTCCCAGGACGAGGTGCAGCTGGCCCTCGGCCCCGAAGCCACGAAAACATGCTGCAGCTGCCGGCTAGAGCCCCAACCTCGGGCTCTTGGCGACAAAGAGCCCAACCCAAAACCCAAACCTCTAGATATGTCTGGGATAAACCCTACCTAAAGGCTCATACCCTACCCCTTTGTTAAGGTAC